TTTTTTTGCTAGTTCTGAGCCTTGAACTCAAGGCTTGAGCTCTGTCCCTGAGCCTCTCTGTGTTCAAGGCTAAGCTCTACCACTTGAGCCACAGTGCTACTTCCTGTCCCTATTTTTCTTTTAGCTTTAGTTATTCTGATATATAATATAGTATTAATTTGTGTTTCCTTGGTGGCTAGTGATGTTGAACATCTTTTCATATGTTCTTTATGCTTATGTATTCCCTTTGGTGAAATGTCTATTTTTATCTCTCACCCATATTTCTAACTGTATTGTGGGCAAGACAGTAGTATCGTTTCCTGAATAATGTCTGTGTCCCTATTTTTTACTTGGTTTTCTTCATCTAATTTGGGGTCCATTTGTTCTCTTGAATTAGTAGGTTCAAGTCCTTTGTTATATGTGGAACATTTTCAGTTGTTATTTTGTAAACAACAGCAACTCAAAAGCCACTCTTCAGCTTATGTCCTTCTTTTTCTCTTTCTGGACTCTGCTAACATTCATGTTAGATGTTTGTCATTTTCCCATGGTTTGTAAAGTTTTCATTTATAGCTGGCGTGTCTTTTCAGAGAATAATATGTTCTAGCAGCCCTCTTCAGTCTCTGTTCCAGTGGGAGAGAGCCACAGCCTTATACTGCTCGATGGAAGTCTTGTTTCTTCAGATAAGTGTTCATTGATGGGGGTGCAGGTGAGAGTTTAGTCTTCCAGTCTGCCAGTACAACTTGGTTGAGGGGTAGAACTGCCTTATTAAACTGCTTTGGTGTGTGTGTGTGTGTGTGTGTGTGTGTGTGTGTGTGTGTGTGTGTGTGTGTGTGTGTGTGTGTGTGATATCATTCTCATCACTGAAGATGGAAGTCTATGGTCCTTAGTCTTTCTGGATACCATACTGGTAGTGAATATCTTGTTAGTAGTTGAATATCTTGTTACAGCCCAGCGAGGATGGACATCTAGGATGGCATTTTGAGTTTATTGCTAGGTGGTGCTGTAGTTTTTTTTTTGTCTGGTGGCTAGAGGAGACTGGCTTTGTCCCTGGTTGTTTGTTTTTCAGACTGGTGGCGCATCCAGCATCTAATCAGAGGTATTAAGGGGAAAGAAAGCAGAGAGGACTCAGTACTCTGTGGTTCTGAGTCTGGATCCGTAGCTGGCTTGCCTTCCTTTTTAAACTTTCTAGTCTTTTTTTGTTTATTGTATGTGTAATATCCAAGATTTGTTGTGATATTTAGTGGAAGGAATAATGGAGAGTTTGTGTACTCTATTGTATCAGGGGCAGAAATCTCTTTGCAATTTTAAAAATGGGCTTAGTGTATTAATATTTTAATTATGAAAAATTTTAAATGTGCAAAAATTAGAAAGCATATTATAATCCAGCTTTAACACTTCCCAATGTTCTCCCATTCTCAATTCATTTTTTCCTAGATACACATATACTCAATCCTACACAATCACATATACACACATGTGCACACTGAATTATTTTAAAGTAAATCTGAGACATGATAAATAGGTCCCTAAATATCTGTATAAGATAAGAATTTCCTTGAAAATGTTACTAATTGTCCCATTATCCTAAAACAAAATGAACAATAGTTTAAAAAATATTTCAAGTTTATTGTCATGCTTATAATAGTAATAAAGATAGAACCACTAATCCTTTAGAATGGATATAATTTGACAGGAGTATTACTTAGTTAAAAAACAAAAATATTTAATCCAATGAACAATAATTACTTTTCTCATTTATTACTCATTTTTTGGATTATAATCCAAACAAGTTATCCCTTGTATTGGTTGGTTAAAACCTCTTATGGTTCACAATTGCCCTCCCTCCCTCCCTCCATTTCTCCCTCCCTCCCTCCTTCCTTCCTTCCTTCCTGCTTTCCTTTCCTTCTTCCTTCCTTCCTTCCTTCCTTCCTTCCTTCCTTCCTTCCTTCCTTCCTTCCTTCTTCCTTCCTTCCTATGTTATTTATTAGTTGAATAAACTATGTCATTTTCCTATGACGTTTCCTTGTTTAATGATTTTTATTAGCACATATTAGTTGTGTAAGAGGAGCTTTCACTATGACATTTCCATACATGCATACAATATATCATAAGCAAATACACCCCCTGTCACTCTCCATTCCCTTCTCTGCCTTCTACACCAATCTCAACAGGTCGAATGTGCAAATCAACTGCTTGGTCATATTCATGCTCATTAATCTTCATTAGCTATAACATGTTCTACATTCTAGATCTGCCTTAATTATATAGGTGATACATGTTCCCTTTTTTCCCTTTATTTCCCTCAACCTGATTGGTAGGTTTAGAAGATTAGTGGAATTTAGGTCCAGATTTTTGTTAGAAGTACTTTATAAGTGATCTTGCCTGTGTGGCACCAGGCAGCACACTGTGTCTACTTTCATTCTTTTAGTGCTAAGATTTATTTAGGAGACTCAGGTGTTATCATTCCTGATTGAGCCATTATGAAATTCCTTACCAACACTACCTAATTGGTTTAGCATAATGAACTTTCCTCTCATTAGGGGCTGCAGAATGGCGATATTTTTCTGTCATATTTTTGCATTAATTAGCTGGAATTCTTTTATAAGAAGTATTTTCCTTGCATCAACTATTTGGTTAACCTACAAGGCATTTTGTACAGAAAAAGTACAGAATAGTTTTGTTTTTCCTTTAATTTTCCCCTCCCCCCCACACCAAATAGGTGATTTACAAACTTTTTTGAAGGTGACTGAAGATTTAGGCAGATCCACTTGAGCTCTACCATTTGAACCATGCCCCAGCCCTTTTTGATTTCACTCGTTTTTGAATAGGGTCTCACTTTTCTGTTCAGGTCAGCTTGGACTGCAGTCCCCCTATTTATGCTTTCCACTATACCTGAGGTGATAGGACTACTACCATGACTAGCTTTATATTGGATGAGATGAGAGTCTCATGAATATTGCCCAGACTGGCCTTAAACTGTGATCTACTCAATCTCAGCCTCCCAAGTAGCTAGGATTGACCAGTAATTATTTTTAAAAGTGTCATTTGAGCTCAGCTTGTTAAAAAAATAAACAAAAAAACCCAGAAACAACCAATCCACTGCTGATTGTTTTCCCCAATACTCACCTTGTCCCATCTTTGATGACTGGAATCCCGAACTGCTCAGGATCCTTAGCAGAATGCCTTCTATGTTTGATAGAATACTCTTACACTTTTTGTGCCCTTGACCTTAAGCCTATTTCTCTTAGGCTTCTTTTAGTGGTAGAAATTATGAGGCCCTGTATAGTCCTATTGGTTCTGGACTTTCATTGCTTTGTGCTTTTTTTTTTTTTTTTTTTGCCAGTCGTGGGGCTTTGAACTCAGGGTCTGGGCGCTGTCCCTGTGCTCTTCAGCCCAAGGCGAGCGCTCTACCGCTTGAGCCACAGCACCACTTCTGATTTTCTAGGTTTATTGGAGATCAGAGTCTCACGGACTTTCCTGCCCCAGGCTTGTTTTGAACCAGGATCCTCAGATCTCAGCCTCCTGAATAGCTAGGATTACAGGCGTGAGCCACCGGTGCCTAGCTGCTTTGTGGCTTTTTTAGGTGGCAGGTTATTTTAAAACAGAAAACTATCATGAGCATGTATTTGATATCTTCAACTTTAAGAATATTAGACTTCCAGGACAGGGCGTATAGTTCAGTGGTTGAGCATGTGCTTAGCATATAAAAGGCTCTGAGTTTAATAACCCCCCCCCCCCAAAAAAAAAAAACCCCAAAAGATTACAGGGATTCTCAATATAAAAATTTTCTTGGTCTTATATTTTCTTAGATGCTGAAATGCTTGGCTCTGAGCAGTATTGATATAATTAGTTATTTGTTTAAACCATTACTAATATTATGACCAATAATAAACCCATTCAATAATGATTAGATTTGTCTCTTGCTCTTTGCTTTTAAGAAAATTCTCTGAGGATGTACAGTCCAAATCCTCTCCTCAGGTCTGTTGTCTTCCAATCTTTTGGGATACATATTTTTTCTCTGTGGCTGTTAATACCAATCAGATACACAATAAAGTGTGTTTCCATTTATTTTTTATTTTTAAAAACTGCATTTTTCATCTCTTGGTTCTTATAATGGTTTAAGGCAATCATTTTTTAAAGGTTTCTCAGAAATTACTTCTTTCTCATGCTACCTTTTCTGAGTTTCTGCCTCAAGTCTTAAAGCTTTGCATTTATTCTGTGTGAAGGGTTGACTGTCATGAGAGAGAACTTGCAAATAATCAAAGTAGCAAATCACATGGCTTGTTTATCTCATTGGGAAAATAAAAATGGCCAAATTTAAGAACAGCTGATATTTATTTTCTTTCTTTTATTTTTTAAGCAAAAATCTACACTTTAATGGTGGTCTTTACAAGATTAGGTGTCTGATGGGCAGGCACCACACAGGCAACTAAAACAAGCTATTTATTCCTAGTGAGTGAGGTCCTTTCCCTGATTCTTCAATGGCTGAGTACTATGGGGTTTATATTCTCTCCCAGACATTGCCTAAGTTACATTACTTTCTACTGAGTAATTTGAATATATGTGTCTCTTGAGATTGGTTGAATTTTTTAAAGATTTTTTTTAATTTTTTAAGATTTGGTTAAATTTTTGAAGTGAGATTTTGGCTGTCTCGGCTTACTCCTTTGTTCTTTTGTGGCAGGAAGGCTTTACTGGGTGTTTCTATAGGGAAATATACATAACTTCTACCCATTTTCTTATTGCCGTCTATTCTTCCCCTTGAGCAGCTTGTATTTCTGTGTCTTCTTAAGCAGAATCTAGATCCCCTTAGTTGGCTTATATTTGGGGAGATAAGGATGAATGTAACTCGATGAATAAAAACTTTTAGTTAAGGTATATGTTTCAAGCATTGGATCTGTTTTTGAAGATCGGATTTTCTAAACCTTCCCATATTTGAGAAAGCTTTGAGAAATCATAACTTGTATCTAGAAATTGATTGCATTTGTTCTAAATTTTTTCTTTTTTCACTCTTAGGTGAGAGAAGACAATAACAAAAAATGGCAAGTAAAAGACTTGAGGAGTCCCTGGGGGCTGTTCAGATGGGGTTAATCAAAATGCTCCAAGGATTCCACAGCAAAGTTTTGCCACCCATGAGTCCGAAAGTGGTTACAGAAGAAGAAGTGAACCGCATGGTAATGTATCATGGAATTTCTATGCAAAATACTCGGATGCTGTCTTTCTCTTCAGGACAATGACCATTGTTGATACTTGAAAATTTCAGAATATCAGACAGACAATTCCTGAATGATTAGTGTCAATTTAGTTATTAGTAGGCAGGAGAGAATAAGTGCTTTTCAAAGTCTGAGTCTGACTATAATAGAAGACCAGAAATTGAATGATTTATAAACAAGGTTGACTTTGGCTGGAGCCCGGAAAATCTTAGAGTGGGTAGCTGCATTTAGTACGGGTCTCATGCTACATACTCATATGGCAGGACAACAGAAGAGCAAGAGAAGTAAAGGGATTCAAACTCCCAAGAGAAGTGTTAAATCATAAGGGTACCATATGATAAGATTCTAACACATGAGTTTTGGGGGTCACACTCAAATCATAGAATTCTAAATAACTGAGTAGAACTGGGTGACCTGTCATTGTATAATTCAAAAATAAATATCAGAATTGTATAATATTTAACCTAATAATATATTACCTGTATGTTGGCAAGTTATTTTTGTTTACACATTTGTATAACACAGAGCATTAAAATAACTAAATGATATCTAAAAAATAAGTATTCTTTTTAAAATTAAAATATTTATAACCTAATGATTCATAATGGCTTTTTGAGAACCAAATTCTTAGCCACATAGTATAGAAAATATTCATAGAAACTCATGCTGTTAATAGTATTTGTTACATTTTAAAAATGAATCTCAAGTTGCATTCCCACTAAAAAATAAAATCAATTATTTTCTGTTGTGGCTATTGGTACACCTTATAAAAACTCCTGAGTTTTTGCTTTTAATATTTTATTATTTTAACTTAAACCGCAATATTGCTGATACCTTTTAACACTCTATTATTCTAATCTGTGTTCTAATAAACAAGAACTTTAAAAATCAGGCTGAAAGCTCTATTAGTAATGTGTCTTCATTTGAATAGATTCAATCACAGATGTCAACTTTGTAGGAAAATAAGGATTCTTGAAGAACTTTGACTTTAACCAAAGACTAAAATAAATCAACTAAATTATGTACCCCTGAATGTTTTTATAAGTCTCAGCATACACTTAAGCACCATGTTGCTGTCAACAATCATAGACTCCTGGCATGTAAAGTAGGCCTAGGGCGGCATTGTAGATCTTCTAGAACACTACAAATGATAGCAATGGGTTCTGGCCAACTAATCCCTTGATGAGTTGATTTGTGTAAATGATGGGATATATGCTATTTACTTACAACACTGGAGAAGTTAAAGCATTTTTGTGTTCTTATTTGGATTTAAGTTGTGACCGACTGCTGGATCTTAAAGCTCATTCTAAACATAATCTAAATATCCTCTTGGGTTTCTAACAAGCTCAGACTCATTTCTAAATAGTGCAATCATACTTCCAAGATCCTTGCATTTTATAAGATTTTTCTGTGAAAGACAAGTACCAATGCTTGTAATCCTAACTATTCAGGAGGTTGAGAGCTGAGGATTGAAGTTTGAAGACAACCTGAACAGAAAAGTCTTAGAGATTTTTTTTTGTATTTTTTTATTGTAAATATACTGTTACAGTTACATGAGTAAGGTAATGAGTATACTTCCTATCGAGCATTGTTACTCCCTCCTTTGTTTTTCCTTTACCTTCCCTTCCTACTTCCCCAACTTCTTCCCGACACCCCGCCCCCAAAGCTGTAAAATTCATTTTCAACATAGTGTCTTGTAGTCTTGGAGACTCTTATCTCCAATCAACCAGTAAAAACCAGCCTGGAGGCTGCTCATCAGACATAAGCAAGATTGTAGGATCTTGTGTTCAAGCCCAGCACACATACATAAAAACAAAATGATTTTTCTATTATAATGTGACAAACACCCCAAAGCTTTGCACATTGTATCTTCAATTGAGAAACAGGAATATCTCAGACTCCTTAGCTCCAAAGCCTAAATGTGATTTTTACAAAGTTAAAGAGTTTTATGCTCAGATGCTTCTTGTGAGCATAAATGTTAAGCTCTTTGGACATCTGCCCATGTAGTTTCCTGACTTTTTTTTCCTCTAGAGATCCTTTGTGTGATTCCTTCAAAATTATAAGGGAAGGACACTACCTGTCATTTTAAATTACTGTTCAAAGACCACAAAAGTGTATAGGGACTTCTCTTGGATAATTTAGTTATTTTAAATATTTTATAATGGAACTTAACGGCATTCCAGAATTATCCTGAAAGCTGCAGACACAAATTATTCATTGCTGGTACTTATGGAAACATTTTTTTCAGTGTTTGAAGCTTTGGCTCTTATGGTTTGAATTCTAGCTGACACCCTCGGAGTTCCTGAAGGAAATGTCCCTCACTACAGAAGAGAAATTGGCAAATACACATTGTATGTGTCGGCCACGGGTCATTGAACTCTTAGACATGGGAGAAACAACACATCAGAAGGTAGGTAGGGCTGAACATGTAACGTGAACATCCTGGCACCATCATAAGTAAATAAAAGCTGTTGTTTGTAGAATAGCAACTATTTCCCTGGGTTTGCCTCTCTCTCTTTTTCTCTCTGTTGATCTTGATCTCTGGAATTGAGTATGGTGACAATTAAAATTGAGTGCAAAAACATAGAAAAATCACTTTTTTTAATTTACTTATTTTTTTGTTCGGTCATGGGGTGAACACTGGGCCTGAGCACTGTCCCTCAGCTCTTCAGCTCAAGGCTAGCACTCTACCACTTGTGCCACTTCTGGCTTTTTTTTCCTGCTTATCTGGTGCTGAAGAATCGAACCCAGGGTCTCATGCATGCAAGGCAAGCACTCTACCACTGAACCACCTTCCCAGCCCCTGAAAAATCACTTCTAATTAGTCACATTTCTTTTTAAGCTACTTCTGGATACCACAGTTCAAGGGTAAGAATAATGTCAGAAATTAACATTTGCCAAGACTAATCAAGTCATCTCCTTAGGATAAGCAATTAAGTGTTTCTTACCTGAGTTTTCTGCTAGGAAGGGAAAAAAAGTGGACCTGTTTATCCAAGTAGGTGCTTGTTGTCTATTTGTGGCTTATTTCCGAAAACAAATTTATCCTTTTTGTGTGTAAAAAAATAATGATTTAAATGTTCTATATTATAATGTAAAATATACCCCTACATTTTAGGAGCCTAGAAGTATGGTTTACATTAGAATATCAAGGCAGTAATATAGCAAAGTAGCACAAGGACTCATTCTCCATGTGCGAGACAACTCTCTGGAACAGTGAAGGAACCCTTTCACAGAAAACTAATCCCCAGTGGTCTGTCTGGTAGGGATTGGGTCATAACTTGTGCAAAAATATGGAACCTATAATTTAAGGCATTAATAAGAAATAAGATCTTCCAGAAAGAAAGAAGCTCCTGCCAGACTTCTATAAGCACCAGCAATCTAGAATCATCCACTCGGTTCATACTCAAGGACTGAGAGATAGTCCAACCCATGGCCCGTCACCTCTTTGGAGCCAATAAGGATCAAATCCATTAGGCTCCCTACCATTGACAAGCCATGGAATTCCAAGAGCTCAGCAGCCACCTACAATGCATTGAAGGGAAACATAGCCCAGTTGTCTCTATTTGTACTATTCTTTTTCCTCCTATTTTCTTCTGGAATTTGACCAGTGATTGTTGATTATCTTGTTAACTCTTAAGTGCCTCCAATCAGCTCTTTGTTGATACAGCTTTTCTAATTATTCTGTAAGGGTGTTAGTTTAATTGACCTCATTTACCACTACTACAAAAGGAAGTCTAGGGTTATGGTCATACCAGCCTATTTTATTTTTAAACCAAAATTTCTTCTTTCTTTATATTGAAGAAGTTAATGACAATAATCTCACTAATCATACTTATTAATTTTATAGTTGTTACTGCTTTTGAGTGTTTCCCTGATTCTTGGCTTTAATATTTAGGGTGGTATGTACTATTTTCTTATTTTCCTGTATTATTTTTTGCCACTTTGTGCTTTAAATGAATAATTTCTTCTTTCAACTGCAGTTTTCAGGAATTGACTTGGATCAGGCATTATTCCAGCCCTTTCCATCAGAAATTATATTTCAGAACTATGCTCCCTGCGAAGTCTATGAAGTTCCATTGGTTTTGAGGAACAACGACAAGGTGAGTATGTTCTCTAGAGTAGATGAACTTTCTCAGGATATATGAGAAGGGTTAGGATCTTAGATATGTTCTTTGATTGATAGACTTAGGAAAATAGAGTGAAAATTTAGACTTATACTAGTGAAGACAGGTTGTATCTGTTTCGTTTTTCTTTTTTGGTGGGGCTATGCGTTGAGCTTGTGTCTTCATGTTTACTAGGCATTTACTAGGTCTTACCACTGAGTCATGTCTCCAGCCCTGATTTTTGCTGGTTGTTTTTTGCTGTATGTATCTCAGTATAATTCATCCCTGTTAGGTTCCCTGTGTAGCTTATAATTGCTTTCATAGCATCCAGCTCTTCATTAAAAATGGTATTGCAGGAAGTGGCGCTGTAGCTCAAGTGGTAGAGTGCTTGCCTTGAGCTGAAGAGCTGAGGGACAGCACCCAAGCCCCGAGTTCAAGCCCCACAACCGACAAAAAAATAAATAAATAAAAATAAAATGCTTTAAAAAAAATAAAAAAATAAAAATGGTATTGCAAACTTTTCCACCTGGGCTGACCTTGAATTGAGCGCTTTCTAACCCAGCCTCCCAAGGAGCTTGGATTGTGGGGGTGTGCTATGGGCACTCAGCTGTATGTTTTCTGTTGTTATATGTTAGACCCAGTGCACTGCCTAACAAATAGTGAACTCTCAACAAATATAATATCTTGTTGGTGAATGAAGGTTTGATTTGATGAAGGGCAGGAAGTTCTCATATCTGACCAGTCCAGCAATGTTTTCTTTTAAGACAGAACAATTATTATGTTAATGTAGTGTACTATGACATCAGTTTCCAAGTTCAAGGAATAATCCACTACTATGAATTATAAATATTGGGCACTAACATTTATGTCCTGTGAATTATACTTCTAGGTAACTTCTTTTCTACAACCTGTGAAGCTCTTTCTCCCCTTTTTTAACCTCTTCCTTCTATGTGATATAACCTTCAAATTTGTCTACAGATAGCTATAGTTCTGGAAGTCTTCTCTCAGTGTCTATACCTTGTCTCTTTGTGATTGCCACTGATGATTAGTCCTTAGCTTATGTTTTTTTCTTCAGTGGTGGATTAGGGTTTATTATAAGGAAATATATTAAACGCCTGAAGGTTTCCTTGGCATCTGATTATAACTAAAGATAATAATAAAAAGTTCAACATTAGCCAGGTGTCAGTGGCTCACACCTGTAATCCTAGCTACTCAGGAGGCTGAGATCTGAGGATCGCATTTCAAAGCCAGCTCAGGCAGGAAAGTCCGTGAGACTCTTATCTCCAATAAACCACTAGAAAACCGCTCCAATAAACCACTAGAAAACCGGAAGTGGCCCTGTGGCTGAAGCGGTAGAGTGCTCGCCTTGAGCTGAAAAGCGCAAGGACAGTGCCCAAGCCCAGAGTTCAAGCTCCATGACCAACAACAACAACAAAAAGTTCAACATTAAGCATAATTATGCCTGAAGAGTAATCAGATGGGGAGAAAGGCAACTGAAAGATGCTATACTTAAAATACAGGTAGGAATACTTAGAGGCCCCCAAAATTGAGCTACTGGAAAATAAATCAAGATTATGCTGGAATCCAAAGCACATGGGAAGACTTGGAGGCATATTGAGTACAACAGCTCATTAAAGGAATCAGTGATGCCTTTCAGAGATCAATACAAAGTCAGGCTCCAGAGAAAATGGTATATTTAGCTATTTGCTGCAGTATAGTTAGCAAGAGGAGCTCATAGAACAAAAAGTAAAAGGGTAAACAAAGAAATGATAAAGAATCCAAGGTACTTGGGGTAATGTCCAAGGTACAGGGTAATATCCCTAGCCCCCAAGGGCTATATCACATAGATGTTAGGACTTTTCATGCATGCCCTCCAGTCCAGTTCCTTACTTTGAATTATTTTCTCTTTTCCAAATTATTTAAAATAATTCTTTTTTATTGTGAAAATACTATACAGAGGGGTTACAATTACATGGGCAAGATAATGAGTACATTTCTTATCAAGCATTGTTGCCTCCTCCTTTGTTTTCCCTTCCCATCCCTTCCCATCTCCCCCCTCCCCCCCCCCCCCACACCACCCCTCCTAAAATAATTCTTGTTCAGGTATTGTGAGACTATTAAAGACAGAGTCCAAATTACCCTTTGGCCATTTCTTCTTGACCCTAAACAAATAAATATCAGTGGTTGGAGAGAGCAAGTCAAGTGTAAAGGCACTTGGTTCTCATGGATAACAGAATACCTCCTCAAAAGATGCAGCCCAAGTGCTGGCCCCATGCAAAGAGAGTCCACAGCCAGTGGAAGTTCAGCTACCAACAAGCTGACAAAGTTCTTCAGGCTAGACAGGCTTGTTCTCCAGGTAATTATACTACAGACCTCGTACTATTAGGCTGATATAAGCCTCAATCTTTCTGTCCTTCATTCATGTTCTAGGACTGTGGAGAGACTTGGGGAACAGAGAAGGTGCCTCCTTCACCTTTATATTTCCTTCCTCACTGTCATGGAATGAAAAATCCACAACTTGTTTGGACATTATTTCTTTGTCTCTCATATACACATGAACACTCTAATGCGGTTCATTTGGTACCTGATAGGACAGGCACATATGCTTCTGGTCGGTCGTCATAGGTTATCTGCCAATATTAAGAATTTTTTTTTTTTTTTTTGCCGATCATGGGGCCTGAGCTGTCCCTTAGCTCTTCAGCTCAAGGCTAGCGCTCTACCACTGGAGCCACAGCGCCACTTCCAGCTTTTTCTGTTTATGTGGTGCTGAGGAATCGAACCCAGGGTCTCATGCTTGCAAGTCAAGCACTCTACCGCTGAGCCACCTTCCCAGCCCTATATTAAGAATTTTTATGGCCCCTGAATGTATAACAAATGTCTAAATATCCCTTGGCAGAGAAAAGATTCTCCATCTTTGCAAGCTATTATGATTCTACTTGGCATACAATTTTGAACATGTAGACTCCAGAGTCAGACTCATCAGTCTCTAGCTAGAGACTTTGGGCATTGCCGCCATGGGGATGATGGCAGCCATTTCAATTGAGTGTTTTTAAATATTAAATGAGATAATGAATGTATTTAACTGAGCGCTTGTTGTATCCATCCTAAGTGCTAAACTGGTATGATTTTTTTGTTATTGTTAGTTTTGCTATTGATTCTTTATTTGGTTTTTAATGGTCTATTATACTCTAACTAAATATACTCCCAGAAAGCTTAAGCTTGAGCTTCCATTCTCTTTATGATTACCTTTTTATTGTTTTTAATTTTTCACATAAGGTTTCTCACTTTTCCTTGGGTTAGTCTCCTACATTTACTTCCCATAGCTGGGATTATAGGTATGTGACATCATGCCCCATATGATGGTTATTTTTTTTGTTTTTTTAATAGATTAGACAACCTGATATAGAGATACATACACCTCATGAGCATGTAGAGAGCAGAAGGCAAGACTTCAAAAGAATGAAATTCTTTGAAGCCTAGCTGAGACTGGCTTGGGGTATGAGTTCCTGCTTCCTGGAGGTGTTCACTTGGGACATGTGGCAGGGAGGAGTCAGAATAGGACAGTCCTCCCAGCACCACTGCTTGGTGGAGCTGGCCTGCTTTCTTCCTTTGACAAATGGGAGTCTTGAGGAAGCCAGAAGGCTACCAGGAAGATGGAATGGTGTATCATGTCCTGTAGATGGTCAACAGAAAGAACACAGTAAGTGTCAAACACTGAGAAATAATCCAGTTTAATTCTACCCTGTGGGTAAGGCCTTAGCTAATTATCCAGTTTGGTTTTTGAAGATAATCGCATTTAAATAGTAAAGTGAATACAGACTTGTGATAATAAAAATGAGCAGTAATAACATTAATAAAAAATAGGATTGAAATTTCTTGAGGGCTAAAGGTAGGCACTGACATCTCTCTTTACAGTTAGAAGACTGGAGGTCATACATGATCAAGTTTGCTTGTCCAGTACGTAACTGATCTTGAACTATGCTTAACTCTGAGGCTAGTACTCTTTCTTCTACCTTTCATACACACATTGCTCGTCATCATGTGCTCTTTTCGCAGATTCCAAGGATGGTTAAAATTGTTGAGGAAAGTTCACCTTACTTTAAAGTTATCAGCCCCAAAGATATTGGCCACAAAGTAGCTCCTGGAGTACCATCCATATTTCGAATCCTCTTCACTCCAGAGGAGAACAAGGTAATAAGCAGCACTGGCAAGAGATTGAATCTGTGACATTAGAAGCTTGCAATTTAGTTTTAAATATTTATGGAGAAGGTGGTAGTGTTATCCATACTGGTGTTAATGATGGTATTGGCAGCAGAAGTATTGCTATTAGTGGGTACTGTGGTATAAATGGGTTTGGTGTTGGCGAGTGTTAATATTGGTAGTATAGTGATATTTTTTTTTTTTTGGGTCCGGTCGTGGGGCCTGAACTCTGGGCCTGGGCGCTGTGCCTCAGCTCTTCAGCTCAAGGCTAGCGCTCTACCACTTGAGCCACAGTGCCACTTCTGGCTTTTTTTTCTTTTTGCTTATGTGGTGCTGGGGAATCGAACCCAGGGCCTCAGGCATGCAAGGCAAGTGCTCTACCACTGAGCCACCTTCCCAGCCCTAGTATAGTGATATTTTTGTCATTGAGGGTATTTGTATTTGTTTATTGTTACTGTAATGGAATACCTGAGGATGGTAATTATAAAGGGAAAAAAGATCTATTTACCTTACAGTTTTGAAGGCTGACACTCCAAACAGCATAGCTTCAGCATCATGAGAGGTAGCACATGTGGAAACTAGAAATGGAATATTGAGTCAAGAAGCCAGAACTGGGACTGGGAAGGTGGCTCAGTGGTAGAGTGCTTGCCTTGCATGCATGAGGCTCTGGGCTCAATTCCTCAGCACCACATAGGCAGAAAAAGCCCAAAGTAGTGCTGTGGCTCAAGTGGTAGAGTGCTAGCCTTGAGCTGAAGAGCTGAGGGACAGTGCCCAGGCCCAGAGTTCAGGCCCCACCACCGACAAAAAAGAAAAAACAGCCAGAACTCAGAGAGGGGCCTGTAGCGACCTCCTGCTAGGCACTTCCTCTTAAGGATCTATCACCTCCCACCATTACCATACTGAAGACGAAACTCTCTCATATAAACCCTGGGGGAAAACTTGCATCTAACCCATAGCAGTGGAGTTAGTGTTGGTAATGGTGACATGGATGATATTGGTTGTGGTGAGGATGGTGAAAGGAATCTTGAGTATAGTGAGAAGAAGGAACGGTATTCCATAGAGAATGAGCAAAGACTTTCAAACAGTGCCAAGGGCTTCCATGAACTGTAAGTAGCCATGTTGTAAGGAAGGCAAATCCTGCTACATGCTCTCCCTCATCTTGAAACCCAGCATCTTAATACAGAAGCGCATGGCCCCAGGGATGCCACAAATGAAAAGGTGTAGCCTGGATGAGGTGAACTGAAACAAAGGATATAGAAAATTGCTTGGGAGTGTAGGACCCTAGTTAGTTGTATTTTTCCTCCCAGAATCTAACCTGTTTGGGAAAGGTACTCACTATGCAAATATAGATCACAGGATCAGCCTCACTCATAGCAAAGAATGTAACCAGGACCTGTGCCATAGATGGGGTCCTCTGCTCTCCAATGGCTAATAGGTAACTTATTTTTGGTAAATGAAGATATTCCCTGCAGTCCCACCTTTAGGTAAGCCGGAAAACTCCAGCCAAAACCAGATCTGTTTGGTATGCTTACCTCTGGCTGCATACATTCATTCAAAAAGAGGAGGCCATTTTTTTCCTCAGCACCATCCGCAGCTATAGGCTATAGAACCTGTTCTCAAATTGTCCTGGGTCATAGAAACCCTAGGTTCTAGGAGACAAGGAGCAGGTAGGTGGGACTGGGCTGACGATGCTCATTTCCTCTGGGGCCTTCTCCATAAGAGCAGAATTGTTGGTGAGGTTTTCTTCCCTGTGAGCCTAAGTGGAGACTCTTAGGGAGGAGGAAAGGCATTTTATCAGCACAACTGAAGGACCAAAATAGAAAACAGACTTATGTATGCATAACAAAAAGTCATGTATGTAATGTTAGTAGTGAGTGCTTATAATATGGTGCCATTGTAGCTGGAATCAACAGAGCAAGGCGAGTTAGACAGAACCTCTTTGAGACCCTGCTTCTCTACTACCACTACTTAGTAGTAACTATTAATGTCATTTCTAGTGTTGCTGCTCATGTGCTTTTTACTGCTTTTCTGGAAAGCAGTATAGAGGAAATTTATTTGGTCAACCAAGCATGTGCTCATGGTAATGAGTGGTTAAAAATTCCATTATAATCATTCTGCCATTATTATTTCACCACTGTGTAGTGTTCCTATTTATGTCTTGCCTTCTATTTATGGAGCTGTGATTTTTGTTTGGGGTATTATTGAAATAAATTAAAAGACAAATTACTCCAGATGTGGAGTGTGTGTGGGGGTGGGGGGGCAGGGTAGGTTGTTGAATTCTTTTTCCTTTTCCCTAGATATACTCTCTCAAATGTGAGCTGTGAAGAGAGAATGTGTGTGGATTGAATTTGGGTGTCAGGTTCCCAGCCCGTCATTTCTGTGGAATGCTGATTAAACCTCAGTGGGGCGTGAAATCCTGATTGTGCTGGATTTGAGCACAGGCTTTCTTTCACTCCTCCTTTGGTTATATGGTATTCTCCCCACAGGTCCGTTCACTGAGAAAGGGACACATGGGCTTTCTGAAGAGGGGGAATGTTCAATATTGTAATAGACATGTAAATTACATGGTGACTTCATTTGTCAAAGTTATGCATTTAATATCTGTGCTTTCCAATATATATGCAAATTTTACCTTAAGAACTGTATAATAACTAAGAGAGGAGTGGGTGGAGGTAGATGAAACCAGAATACCCAAAGGTTAATAATGTTGAATTGAGTGATGGGTACACTGGGGTTTGTTGTATTATTCTGTTTTGTGTCCATTCTAAAATTTCTATAACCAAAAGCTAAAAGAAAAAAGATAGATTTTATTATTGCTTAGACTATCTATCAACCCAGCAAATAGTAGTTGAAAAGTATTGTGTTTACAGATTGGTGTTTACTTTATAGCTATGAAATGCTAATATTGCCATTAAGGATTAATATACTGGGCTATATTTTGTGGTTACTTATCTTATTCCAGCTCCCTCTTTCCATTCCGTTTATTCAGTGATGCATGTCTTTGGGTAAACCTCTAATTAAAAAAGTTAACTAAGTCCAATGTTATTACATTATTGTTTCTTTGAAAGTTTCTATTTGAAAGTTATGACAGGCAACATGTGTATATGAGGAGACATAATGAATTAATAGTTACCTATAAGAAATCTATTATCCAATTTTGGTTGTGCAGGTATAGTACGACATGCCTGTAATCCCAACAATCAAGGAGTCAAGGCAGGAGGACCATGAGTTCCAGGCCAAGCTAGCCTACAGAGTGAGACAAACAAACAAAACCCCACTTTTGTTGGACTTGGACTATAAAGTGTAGTATAGATTATAGAACTCATTTTCCTAAACAGAGTTGGTTTCCCCTTCAGCTGCCTGGCTCAGAATGATGGATCTTTAGTATCTTCTGTGTCTGCCCTACCTCCAGAATGCAGCTGAGGAGAAACTCAAGCCAGATTTATTTTAGGAAGAAGTCAATCATTTCTCTGAGTATCACTGTTTCACAATTGGCCAAATTGATAGCCAAAGTGTGTGTGTGTGTGTGTGTGTGTGTGTGTGTGCACGCTTCCTCATTATTCCCTGCTGATCCGAGCCTTCCCCATTCTCATTTACCCTGTGCACATCTGGAGGATGAGATATGTAAATTGCAGCATGCCACCGTTAATAAGGCAGTCCCCTTTTCAGCTGGATTTTCAGTACCCCGTGTATATTAGCATGTGGAAGATGATAATGCAATTTATATTTTTCCCTCTCATCTTTTGATCTGGCTTCCTGGGGATGGGATGTAAAGCATGCCAAATGGCCAGTTAGCAGGTGCAGAAAATTCACTTTGGCTTTCCTTATCTCTCCTCATACAGACTTATTTTTAGCCATTGGATATGTTATTAATCTACTAATTCTAGTTTATATATCATGCACTATGAAAATATAATAGCCAATGTTATCACCAAATAACACTAAACTTTTGGAGCCTGACATTTTTCTTGACCTCTGAAATCTGAACATTTGGCATTCAAATGATTATGAAGAATATGATGCTTTGTCAGAAAGCAAGGCAGAAAAAAGGAAAAAAAACAGACAAAAGAGGAGAAAAAAAGAAAGCAGAGTCATTCCTTGGATGAAAGAAAGCATCTGTTTATGCTAGTGTTGCCATGGAAATGGCTGCAGTGTTTGAAGACAGTAGGTAGTGATGCATTATCTTTTGAGGAAATATTTCATTTGCTGTTGATGATTTTCCTGATACATTACTATGAAAATTTTAAACTGTGTCCCAAGAAGTATGGTATGTTAACATATCTCATGTGCACTAGGTGTATCATAATAAAATATATCACCGGTATTTAAAATGATAGTGTAGATGCTATAAAATCCTCTACTGTCCATTACTTTTGTTTAATGGTAAGTATTTTAGATTCTTCCTAACTGGAATTAGTCCTTCCCAGTTCTGTCCAAGTCCCCCCTGAAGCCCTAATGTCTTGCACAGTGCCCAACACATAGAAATAAGCAGTAAACATTGAATGAGGTGAGTAGGTAAAAATTAATCTGAAGAAAACATAAAAGAAGTTTCTTCAACTTGAGCATGGCCTGCAGAGGATAAAAGCAGAAACAGAGAAAAGGGCTCAGATAGCTTTTGTGCTCTGAATGTTTCAACGTTTAACTTTCTTGGGAGGTAGAGAGGGAAAAATCACAGTTTGAAACTATTCTTGGCAAAAGTCAGCAAGACCTTATCTCAAAACCAGCTGGGCTATAATCCTAGCTAATCAGGAAGCTGAGATCTGAAGGTCATAGTTCAAAAACAGCTGGAACAAAGAAATCCATAGAAACAAAAAAGCTGAATATGGTGGGATAGGCCTATAATCCTAGCTATTCAAGAGGCTGAGCTAGAAGGACACCACACACACACACACACACACACACACACACACACACACACACACACACACACACACACACACACACACACTTTAACTTGTTACTTATACCAGCAAAAAGATGTCTAAGAATTC